CCGATAATGTGCTATTTCCTGGAGGCAACCACGTGCTTTGTCTTCTTCTTCGGAGGGAGGTAAATTTGTGGGTCGGGCATATAGAACACTTGTGCGACACGTGAAGAGAGCACCTAAGGGTCATCTTGGTAGCCTAGATTCTCGAGGTCCAGGACTCTCAATCCGATCTCGTTAAGTTGGTGTTGTTTGATCCAGCGGCATCGAAACAGAGCCATCGTTATATCCCATCCATAGTCAAGTTCCCATATCTCTTCAATGATGCCAAAGTATTGGACCTTGCGCCCCACTCCATCGAGAGCTTCTATTCGAACGCTGTTGTTTTGGTTCACATATTTACTATCCTTTGCGTGGGTATAGCATGTGTACCCATTGATGTCATAAGCTTTCCAAGATGTCACTTGTCTTGATGGCCCCTACGCCAACCTACTGATGGTAATAGAGTCTATGGTTTCTTCAGGCGGTATATTTTGGTCCTTCAACCATGTAGTTAGTCATTGCTTGTGTTGTTTCATGACCCAATCATCTGAACGACTATTTCTCTCTGCCATAATGATAGCCAAGTGTTTATTAATGTATGGTTGCATCAGTTGTGTACTCTATAAGACACTGTAATGCGCCCGACTCACTTCTTTATAATCATGGTCGATGAACACTTTTCTACCACTGGTGCCCTTCCCAGCCAGCCTACCAATCAGGTTTATCGATCCCTTTATGTACATTTAGGTACTCTTGACAGCACTCGACGACTTCTTCAGTACTGTAACCCTCTATCATGGAGCCCTCTGGGTATGCTCGATTATACACGTATCGGAATAGAACCAACATGAACCACTCGTAGGACCACATTTCATGCAAGTAGCAAGGGCTCAGCGCCTGTATCTGATGAACCATGTGAATCATGACATGTGGCATTATATCAAAAAAAGTAGGAGGTAAACACATCTCTAGTTGATTTTTTGTCTCCACCACAAATTCATGTAGGTCACTTAGCTCTTTCTTGCCAATCGTCTTCTGTGAGATCTTCGAAAAGAAGTAGCACATGCGAGTGATGGCCATTTTCAAGAACTCTGGCTTTATAGCCCTGATTGCAATAGGTAGAAACACTGTCAGCATCACATGGCAATCGTGAGGCTTGTAGTGTGTTATTGACAAGTCCTTCATCGACACTAGCTTCTTCACATTCGCTGAAAACCCAGTCGGGACTTTGACACCCCTCAGGAAAGTACATATAGCTCTCTTCTCTTCTGGAGTTAGGTTGAAGCATGCCACGGGTAGAGTGTATTTTCCATTAGCCTCAGGTACCAGGTAAAGCTGTGGCATCACGTTTAGATGCACCATGTCTTTCCATGATTTCAGACCATCCTTTGACTTCCTGTGTCCATCAAGGTAGAATTGAGACTCTCAAAGACATTTTTCTGCATGTGCATTGCATCAATGGCATGGGGGACCTCCAAGTCTGGCCAATAAGGTAGATACTGAAAGAAGATCGATTGTTTCTTGAAAGGTACGCCTTCGACAGGAGGTGTGCTTCTATCTCTGTTCGTCCCATCTGGATTCTTCTTTCCATAGACGACGCATATGTTTTTCACCATTCTGTACATGTGTTATCCGTTATGACGTCTCTCCAGAAGGGGTTCAATCTCTAGGGTGTTGTCATAAAATCTAAAGAATAATTTATTGCGATACTTGTGACTTGTCTTTAAGAAGCGTCGGTTTCTTAGATAAACTATCTTCTTGGATGCATCCAGGAACACCCATGTAGTACCATCCAAGCAAACTAAGCATCCCGTCTTTCCTTTGATCTGTCCAGACAAAGCAAACATCGTGGGGTAATCATTGGTAGTAACAAATATTATTGTTCTATATATGAAGTCCCCCTTTCGGAACGCATCGTACATCGGCTCCCCATGCCTCCATAGCCTCTCCATTTCTTGCATCAAAGGCTCGAGGAACACGTCTATATCAATGCCTAGTTGTTTAGAGCCAGAAATAAGAATAGCGAGGAGAAGATACTTTCTCTTCTGACACAACCATGTTGGGATATTGTACATGGTCAAGATCACTGGCCAAGTGCTGTGGTCGCTCATCCTCTCATTGAAGGGATTCATTCCATCGGTGTTCAAGCCAAACCGTATATTTCTTGGGTCATCGCTGAATTATTTGTGCTTCTCATCGATCCTTTGCCACTGACTACAATCAGCCGGGTGTGCAATCTTATCATCATCCACCTTACGCTCATCATCCCACCATGTCATGAGTGCAGCTTCTTTAGGGTTTAGAAAGATACGTCTCAAGCGGTCGGTACCATATTACTAAGGCAGGAATTCTTCTCTGCTTTGCATCATTGCCTAATGGAGTGTCCTCTAGGGGCTGAGATTCTTGTACCACCTTTTTTGTATCCTTCTTATTCCTCTTTTCCCTATGGAGGCTTCGTCCCCATCATAAAGGTCATTATTCTTGTACCGGCTGGCCCAACACTGGGGACATTTATCCAGTGACTTGAACATTTCACCATGAAAAAGGATACAGTGGTTGGGGCATGCATGAATTTTTTCAACCCCCGTTGTCAATGGACTTATGACCTTCTTCACTTGGTATGTGTTGGCGGGAACTGAGTTTGGTTGTGGCAGCACCCATGACAGGAGACGCAATAGATCATTGAAACTACAGTCTGACCAGCCGCACTTAGCCTTCAAGATGAGTAGCTCAAGCATAAAATATAGCAATGTCCAATGTGTTGAACAACCCTTTTCAACATCGTACACAGTCTCCTTCGATGCTTTTGTCGCCCTTTCCAAATTTTCTAGACCTTTCGGGCTCTTTAGTAAAATCTCTAGTCCAAGGGCTCGAATCATGTCCTCCAAATCATCTTCATCCCCGACACGTGCTCCGCCATCATTATTGGCACCACCTTCGTCGTTACCATCCCAACCACCAGTATCACCACCTTGTTCATTGCCAAACTCGGGATCCATTCGTGCATCAAGCTCTGCTGAATATTGGGACAGAGATTCTAGGGTTTCGTTGTCATATTCCTCCTCATCCTCATCGTTAACAATAATCGTTTTACCATGATGAATCCACACTGTGTAGTCCTCAACAAATTCTCGCATAATCAAATGTGATCTGGTGATAGTCATATCTGTCCATGCCATACGGTTCTTGTAATCTTTACAGGGACAAATAATTGTATCCTTATTCTCTGTCAATGTCGTTGCATGCTTCTTTGCGGCTTCAATAAATTTATCCACCTCTTCACGAAAACCTGCCTTAAACCTTAACGAACCATACATCCAAGAGTTCATGTACTCCATCTTTTACAACAACAATAAAACAAACATTAAAGGACTACTTATTCAGATATATACAAAAATGAATCGAATTAATAATTACTTGAGAATAATTGTATATACTTTAGATATATATATGAATATAAATCAAATATAATTACATGAAGCATACAAACATACCATGGTAGAGGAAAATTAATTAATGGCCTATTTATCTATAAATAATTAAAATATATATTTGTTGATTATGATAAACAATTTCAAAGACAATAATTAACAACAATTAATATTATACCCAATATCTTTCATGCAAACCCTAGTCCAATTTCATCAAACATAAATTTACAAAAACAAAATTAATAAAAAAAACAAACCCTAGATCTAGATCTACATACACATGAAACATCCATAAAACTAACTAATTGTTCACTAAAATCAAGAAACATGGACCAAATAAGGGTATGATCTTGTTCCCCTACCTAATTTACCCTAGTATATTCAAAACTTGGGTCTAATTTGCTTCATAAGTAGCTCAAGCACCATAGAAGAGAGAGAAAAGCCAAACTCTAATTGCTCACTAACCAACTATTAAAACTTCAAAAAAACAAGTGTGAAATAGCATTTTCTTACCTTCTACAACCTCTCCACTAGATGATTTGAGACCAAAACTTTTCACCCTTAATAGAGCAATTTTTGGGAGGTGCCTAAGGCCTCTCTACCTTTTTTTTCACGTGTTGGAGTGAGTGACCCGAGGAGGAAGAAGGGGCTGCAGGTTTTTATACGTGGAGCATTTATAGGGGCGGCCGGTGATTGAGCCGCCCCTACAAATCGCAACACCGGAGGCGGCTGGTGAGTGAGCCGCCCCTATAAATCGACCCATTTGTAGGGGCAGCTCGTATCATCAGCCGCCGCCCCTACTGTGCCATTTGTAGGGGCGGCTGGTCTCGTGGGTCCCGAGCACGCCCACTGTAGGGGCGGCTCCATCACTAGCCGCCCTACAAAAAAATTATCCATTGCTACAAACGTTTTTTTTTTGTAGTAGTGTCTAGTGCTCGTTCCTTTGTACTGCATAGGATCATTTGGTGTGTATAAACACCAAGATCTTAAACTCCTGCCTTCTGTGGGATAACACATTGGTGCTTCGTCCGGTGCTACCATGAAATCATCTGCATGTGCATTCTGCATACTTCTCCTCCTTAAGTACTATGCAAAGTCTAGTCTTTGTATTTTCTGCTCACTACATTATCGAGCATCTTGAACACTTTTACTTTGAAGTATGGCAAACTCTAGTGCTGGTAGTTTTCTTCACATCAAACATCTGATGTACACAATTTCTCCAAGTCTTTTCCTGTTTTGCTTACATCTTCGTCCTAGCTTCCTGGATTTCTCTTGCATGGCATCCTTATTATGACCTATTAAGCACATTCTTGACAAATATGTTAGTATTAATGATTAATGTTGTTACTTAATCACAAAAATCATGAAGCATGGCTTTGAGGGCCATAACTTTGCACAACTGATAGTTTCTAGTGCTTAATTTCGAATTCTGGGGGTGGATTCTTGTCCCTTTGGCTTGGAGTGATACCGACGTTGTGACTTGAAAAAGTAGTGGGCAATAGTTTGATGTTGTAGATAGGCGAGAGTCACAACAACAGTGCCCCTAGCAGCAAGAGGGCAACGCATAGTGTGCTAGGCGAGAGAGAAAAAGCAATGGCCCTAAAATGTCGAACTAGCGAGGAGGTGAGTGGGCAGGTGGCAGATCCAATAATCGGACTCTGCGGAAGACAAGAGGAGAAAGACAGGGCAGGGGTAATGCATGGAAGGAAGGAAAAACACGAGAATGAAAATGACCGATGATCATTAGATGCCAATCTAACATTCGTATGGGTTTAGTGTAAGTTACAATATTTCTAGTCGATCAGTAAAATGAAGTATAATATCTTGTATTTAAAGCTAATCAAAGATAATCATGTATCATCCAAGCTTCCCCTACGTACTCATTCAGAAAATTGGCGCCAGTGATGGGTGCTTCAACATTGAGTGCCTTCTAATATGAAACAGCTGGTAATCCGGTACACATAAAAGGAATATTTAATTTGATAAGTATTGTACAAAATGTGCTTAGAAGGTTTTCACGATATATGTTTATATGGTTATAAACTTGTCAGCATCTATATCGTGGTTTTGAAATATCATATTCTAGATTGATTCTTATATAGAACATTCTAAGTAAAATCCAACAAATTAAGACTCTAATAAAGAAACAGTATTTGAGAAATAGTCTAGCTCCCGGTCCCAAAGGCCGGATGGCCTAAACAGAGCTTTGCAGGGGTCGAAGAAGTCATCACAGAGCGGTTTGATGGTTACAGCTCTTAATAGTTAATAATATGCACTGCGGTTGGAGGCATCCATCTTGACCACGAGCTAGCTCTTTACAAGCATGATGTCTTTGTAACATGCATGGACTCACAATATTGCAAATCATGGAGTAGATGACAATGGCTATGAAGAAGGAGGCGGTTCCTCCGACGAAGACGAGCAAGAAACCGCCGACTTGGGCGGCCTGCCGGTCCCCGAGACCGGCAGCCCGTCCGGGGAGGACAAGGAGCTGAAGAACCGCCTCCTGAACAAGTACAGCGGCTACCTGAGCAGCCTCTGGAGGGAGCTCTCGAGGAAGAAGAAGAAAAGCAAGCTGCCGAGGGACGCGCGCCAGAAGCTCCTCCACTGGTGGCAGCTGCACTACAGATGGCCCTATCCCTCGGTACGTACCATGACAACATGCATGCATGCATGTAAGATCATGCAATGCAATGCAACACTTGATGACGCACGCCGCCGCCATGCATGCAGGAGCTGGAGAAGGCGGCGCTGGCGGAGTCGACAGGGCTCGACGCGAAGCAGATCAACAACTGGTTCATCAACCAGCGGAAGCGCCACTGGAAGCCGGCGCCGCCGACAATGGCGCTGGCCACAGCAGATTACAGGCTGGGACCACCGCACGGCGGCAGCGGCGGCGGCGGCGGTTCTAGCAGCTCGGCCTCCGCCGGTCTCCGCGTGGTGGGGCGCCAGTACTTCACAGGCGTAAGCTCGTATCCCCGTGGCCCGTGACGACGACGTGAGCGCGTCAGGTGTCGACATGGATTGTTGTCGTGCATGCATATCAGCATACATACACATACATGCGTGATCATTTGGGTATAGATGGTGTGGACGTGTGGTGTTTCCTATATATACAGAAATTTGATGGTCTCCTTACTTGCATTGCTCATATATACATACATATCCATATATATATGCAGCTAATGCCAAAGTTATAAAGTTGTAACCATATTATTTTTTGTCTCATTAACATGAGAACAGTAGTACACATATATCAGCATGCATGGATGTTCCTTCTGATGCATGGTCCATGTCTAGCTAGCTATTGTTGGAACTCAATTGGAACAATATGGCCACGATTGGATCAGGTTGCTAATGATTATGTTCTTCTTGAAGCAGTGCTGCTTGACAATTGTCAATTTGTTTGCCTGTGCTTGCGTGCAGGAATGAGTTGCATTATATTTTCATGCAACCATATTGCGGCAGCCAGCCTGGTGTGCAGCCTTCAAAGTGTGGTGTAGCGCGAGCTGACTGTCAAGAGGGTCACTAGCTATATATGATCAGAATCAGATCTATGCAGAAGTTGCTGGTGTTCAGACAATGCAAGGCTTGAAGCGACTACGTACTGGACACACACAAAAAAAGTATAGAAAGTAAAGAACACCCAGTCAAATGAGTTTCCAAATTCCAAAATTTCTTAGACATGCATTCTTTGTTTTGTGAAAGTATTAAACTATATGAGATGAGTATATGCGTTCCATTTTTATATTAGCAAAACAAAAAGGTTCGTAAATAAGTAAAGCATGTCTTCAGTCCGGTTGTGGTAGAGTCATGGAAGTACTCAAGTTAAGCCCTTTTGAGATAAAAATATACTCATCACATCATTTTAAGTGTAAACAAAATATTCATAAAGAAAGGAACAAATTAAAACACATCTTAGTATGGTGGTAGAGAGTCATGGGGTACGAGGATATGCACCCACCACGTTTAAAACCATTGTGCTTATTACATTTTATGCACGTCCATTTTAGTGTTTTTCATGTTAAAAGATTTGCAGGAGCTTCTTTTTTCATGTTAAAAAAATGTAGGCTCTTTTTCCTTATACTACTATAGATCTGGACATCACTGTCGGCCTCATCACTGCTGGATTAGGGTGAACCGGCAGTAATGTACCTTCACTGCCGGTTCTGAGCTTAAAAATTAGAAATTGATTAGGGCTGAGCCAAAACCGACAATGAAGGACCACATCACTGCCGGTTTGGGGCTTACACCGATAGTGGCTTAGCGTCTACTTATCACTGCCGATTCTAGCCAAGAACTGTTAGTGATGTTGGGCTATCACTGTCGGTTCTAGACAAGAACCGACGGTGATAACATCACAGTACAAAAAGTTGGCGCTGTCCTCTCCTTCCTCCTCTATTCCATCCCGAGCACAGAGGCGTGCGTTTGGGCTGCTCCCTCCATTATTGCGGCTGCCTCTTCACCATGAAGCTAGCTCTTGGATTTGGAAGAATGGCTTGATCTTCTTGCTTTAAGGTTAGTAACAAGCATCCACTCTTTTGATTTTGTTGCTTAATTAGCGTTCTTTTGATGGCTACGTTGCTCGATTCTCATTCTAGTTCTTTTTCCATTCTAGAGAGAACTTTTTCAATTGGACTTTGCGCAAGGCTTGCAAGCGAATTGTGGTGAATCCATCATCCAAAAGGTTGGTGTCTTTGAACACATTTAAATTTCTAGCTAATTACATGGTGGTCAAGATCATTGTTAGTATGTGATGCTATAATTAGTTCTTGATAGGAGTAGAGTAGATTCTTTTACAATTTTGGTGAGCAAATTAATCCATGTGCCACCTACCAACACATTGTTTGAAGCTACATTGTTGTTCACGATCATATCTCCAATTTTAGTGTTTTTTTAATTAGTATCTCCATTTTTATGTAGTATGGAGTAGAATAATTGTTCTTTATTATTGTGAAAGAATTATTTTTTTAATGGTGCTACTATTTTCAATTTATATGGCCGAGGCTACTAATTTCAATATTCTAATAATTAGTGTACAATAATGTTTTCCAAAAATGGGGTGACTAAATTAAATAAGTGTAGAATAAATTGTTGTTTCGAGCAACAGTTGTTCATGAAGCTCCATTTGTTATTAATTTCTCTGTAATTACGGTCTCAATATTTTGTTGTGCAAAGATGGATCGAGAGTGGATGTATGGGTTCCAAATGGACAAGCGGTACATGGTTGGTGTCGGCAAGTTTCTCACCGATGCCAAAGCCCATTCTGGGAATGAGAACCCTGTCTTCTGCCCATGTAAAGATTGCATGAATAAAAGGAAATGGGCTCAAATTGAGTCCGAACGAATGGACTATGCATGGCGAGTGTGGTGTAAATGTTGTGTAGGAAAACGATGATGATGTGGCCATGCCTGACGTAGGCATCCACGATGCTGACAAGGAACCCGGTGTCAACACGGAACCTATGGCCACAATTAATGATGTGTTTAGGAACACGCTAGTTGAAGACACTGAGGATAATGATGGTATTTCTCAGCTGCTACATAATGTAGAGACCGGATGTTTTAGTGAAAGACAACTGAGAAAGCTAGAGAAAATAAGACAAGATGGCAAAACACCATTGTATAAGAATTGTCCAATGATCAAATTGGAAGCCGACATCATGCTGTTAGAGCTCAAATCGACAAACGAATTGAGCGATAAAGGCTTTGATCAGTTGTTAGGTATAATAAGGAAAATGCTCAAAAAAAAAAGTTGCCAGAAAAGACATACATGGCTAAGCAAATGATCTGCCCCATCGGCCTCGAGGTTGAAAAAAATCCACGCATGTTCCAATGATTGTATATTGTATTGTGGAGACGAATACAAAGACTTGGATGCATGCCCCAAGTGTGAAGCTCCATGGTATAAGGGCCGTCAGATGATGGTACCAAGACCAGAGGAGGTCCCATGATGGTCATTTGATATTTCCCTGTAGCTCCCCGGGTGCATAGGCTGTTTGCATGTGCAAAGTCAACCAAGCTATTGTGCTGGCATGGCGAAGAGCGTAAGAAAAATACAATGATGAGGCACCCCGCTGATGGGAAGGACCGGAGGACAATGAATACTGTGTTCTATAAGAACATCGGTGGAGAGGTAAGGCACCTTTGGTTTGGTTTGAGCACAGATGGGATGAATCCTTTCGACTAGGTTAGAAGCAATCATAGCACCTGGCCAGTGACGCTCTATATATACAACCTTCCACCTTGGCTCTGCATGAAGTGGTTGTACATCCAGATGCCACTACTGATCCAAGGGCCAAGACAACATGTGAATGATATCGATGTGTTTCTAGAACCAATGATCGATGAACTAGTGAAGATGTTTGAAAAGGGTGTGGAGGATGTTTGAGACGGGTACAAAAAGGAACATGTCACGATCAAAGCTGTACTTATCGATACAATCACCGACCTGCTAGGTCGAGGTTGCTTGTCCAGAGAGAAGACAAAAGGAACATGTCACTAGATGTGTCGAGTGCTTGGACGACACCGATGCGGTACATGTGCCAAAGAACTCAAAGATAGTTTATATGTGACACCGTAGGTTCCTACCTCAGAATCACCCTTACCGTAGGAACAGGAAAGATTTTGACGGGACTATTGAGAAACGCTTACCTCCAAAATATTGAGACGGGCATGCGATACTTCAAGAAGTCAACAAACTGGAGGCTGTCCTTGGAAAGGGGCACAATGCAGTAGCAGCGCCTGATGGGAGGGTCTGGAAGAAGAAAAAATCGGTTTTTTTTAAACAACCTTTCTGGCCAGTGTTGAGTGTATGCCACTGTCTAGATGCCATGCATATTACTAAAAATGTGTGCGGTAACACGCTTAACACCTTGATGGACACCGGGGGGATATCAAATGGTTCACTGGCCACACGTCTGGACATGCAACACTTGGGAATCAGGAAGGAGCTGTATTCCGTGGCGCTAGAGGATGGCCAGTTCGAACTTCCGGTTGCGTCGTGGACCTTGAAGAAGGATGAAAAGCGTGCGCTTATTTTTTTTCTTCAATAAACTCAAAAAGTTCTAACGGGCTACTGTGCGAACCCTAAGAGACTAGTGAACATGAGAGAACTGAAGTTCAACTATGATTGTATGAAGGCCCATGACCCATGTCATTATGACTCAGATGCTCCAAGAGCCAAGACAATCTGAAAATGACATCGATGTTTTGCTGGCTTGTGCGAAGGATCGATGCAAAAGAACTGCAGGTGATGTAATTAGGGACCGGGTAAACCAACAGGCACGAATACAAGAAGGAAACAAAGATCGATCCTGTTGCTGTGCACTGCTGGTGCACTTGTGTAGCTCATACTACTGGAAACAGAGCCTTTGTCAAGTGCAAACTGCTTTGCCGAATGTCAAAAATCGGGCACTCGGCAAAGAATTCCACTCGGTAAAAAAGAGCACTCGGCAAAGGACTTCTTTGCCTAGTGCCATACTCTCGGCAAAAGCGCGGCACTCGGCATAGGCTGCCCCGCGTAACGGTGTTCGGCCACATCCTTCTTTGCCGAGTGTCTGCTGTTAGGCACTCGGCAAAGTTTTTTTTTTGGAAAATACTTTGCCGAGTGCCCCTGACACGGCACTCGGCAAAGATTTAATTTTTTTTTTGAAATGTCTTTGCCGAGTGTCCCAGATCTGATACTCGGCAAAGTATTTTTTTTTTTAAAATACTTTGCCAAGTGCCCCTGACACGGCACTCGGCAAAGATTTTTTTTTTTTTGAAATGTCTTTGCCAAGTGCCCCTGTGGAGATTAGTTAGCTAAAATCGATGCATTCGGGACCTTCTATTCCTGTTAATTTTCTATACCCATCCACCGTATTGTAAATTTTTCCTATGTTTTCCAATCTTATATTTTACAGTTGTATTCCTTTGAAATCCCTTTGCCTCCTTGTGTTCCAAAGAGGACCTTCCTGTTTGTAAAAGAAGAAGAAGAACAAGGGGTGCAGTTGCGTATACTCCGTAGTACTACTGTACGTCGTACTAGTAGTATTGGGGTCTTGTTTCAAATTCCAACGTTTGATCGCACTATTGAAACCTTCCAATGAATGGACTTTTGGCACTTACCGCACTACTACATAAGTTAACTGTAGGGGCGGCTGCGCCAGCCGTCCTTCTCTAGGTGTTCCTACAGAGGGTGCCTCTATAGGGGCGGTTTCCTAACCGCCCCTGCAGTGTCCTTTAGAGAGCGGCTGGTGTTTTCAGCCGCCCCTACAATGCCCTCTGTAGGGGTGGTTGGTAATATCAGTCGCCCCTGCAGTGGACTTATGTAAGAGCAGCTGTATCACCAGCCACCCCTGATGTGTGTATTTGTAAGGGTGGTTCAATCAAGAACTGTCCCTACAGTGGATTTTTCAGCAAAAAAAAATAATTCAAATTCAAATTCAAATC